GGGCTGCGTCTTGCTAGTTTTGAACCCGCGTCCTAGCCACCCATTTAAAAAAAAAAAAAAGTCAGAAAAATTAGTTAGATTATTAAAATAGTGTTAAAATTAATCATTATTATTGTGATTTAGCTGTTTTAATTTTACCTTTTGTTAATGCAAGTACACTTATATATTTACAGAGTAAATGAGGGGTAATTGAAAAAAATTTTCTTCCTATATAGTTAAAAGAGATTGGTATTTTTTATAAAAACTTTATATTTGTTACAATTTAAATATTAAAATTATTAAAACACTATTAATAAAAATATGTATAAGAAAATTTTATTAAAAGTGTTTTGATAATTTTAATTTTTAAATTATATTGTTTTGTGTAGTCTAGTAGTTCATATTAAAAAAAAACATTTTTGATAAAAAATTTTATTTTATAATTTAGATTGATATTGTAGACATACTCTCATTTAATAATCATAATTGTATAATCTAATAAAATTCAAATTAAGTAAAGGCATTTTTTTCTAATACTAATTATAGGATTAAAAAAAGTCAAGCAAAAAGGAAAAAAAATAAAAATAAAAATTGTTGGGTCTAGACCGTTTCTCGGGTCCCAATTAATTAGTTACACGTTAAAAGAAGTTTCCCATGTGTGGAACTATGTGGAACCTTTCCTCTTGTGAAGTTGCTCTTCTTTGAGTTTCTTGTAGTGTTCCTTGTTGTCACACGAATCATTCTCATCACAAATTCTAAATCTCATCTACCTTTTTCAACTCATTTATTGTTGCTTTTGGTGGCTAGATCAAGCTGTGCATATAACAGGGGTTTCTTTAGGGAAACCATGTCAATGAAATAGATGCTTTGGTGGTTCTTACGATTGATTTACATTGCGATGATGTTCAATTGGAGTTAAGGAAAACAACGACTATTGATGTAGAGTTGTTGCGCCATTCTTGTGCTGGTAAAATAAACTCTACTAGGGATGTTAAGGGTTGGTTACTATTTTCAATTCTCAAGGGAATTTGAAAAGTCCATGGAGGATTTGAGCTTCATGAACAGTCTTAGAATACCTTTATATTTGTTTTGACTTCTATTGAAGCTATGAGATGAGTCATTGATGGTGCCCTATGGTTTGTTAATTGAAATCTACTTGTGCTCAAAGAATGGCCTTCATCATCCAGGTTCGAGGACATTGATTTTACTACATCTCCTTTGTGGGTTCAAGTTCATGGCCTTCCTCTAGTTTATATGTCTGCTAGTAATGCAATCACTAGTGGGAGGCGATTTGCTAAATTTGTTGAATGGGATCCTCATACAATTCTTGGTTTGGGGATTAATAGCTTTCTCAAAATCAGAGTGGAGATTGATGTCAACTCTCATTTGTCAATGGGTTTTAGTTTGCCACAAGGAGATAAACCTCTTATGAATGTTCATTTTAAATATTGAAGGTTGTTGGACTTCTGTTACCAATGTTGTCTATTAAGGCATATTGATAGAGATTGCTTTGATTCTAGATGGTAGGATGACGGGGGAAACTATCTTTCTCAACCTAGACCCCTTTATGGTGATAGCTTAAGGATCGATCTGTTCACAGAAGGAGAGCATCATGGTAGTTTATCTATTTCTCATTAGTTAGAATCTAGTTCATCAGCGATTCACCAACGACAATCACAAGTCTTAAAACAGTCTACTTTGAGGAATAAAGTTGTTGAGAGCTTTAGTTGCATACAACTCATGCGGGTTCCTCAAAGTTCTAGAGAGCATGAGACCTCATTAGCATTAATTGTGCCATCACATCCTTCTCAGCTCACTATGCCGACGGACACTCCTCATGTGCAGTGCATTAATGTTGAAGAGACAGAGATGATGAACAAACAGAAGAAGTCTTTGGTTCAAGAAAATGAAATTGATGATGCAAGCTTCTTAGGCCAGTCTTCCTCAAAATGTAGGCCAAAACTCTATACACCTTTGAAGGCCCACTCTCCAAACCATAATTTTTTACACCAAAAACTTAAGTCTAATCAAGGTGATTGTACTATTAATGAGTCTTGAATTGGGCTTGACCTCATATGATAGGGAGCTAGAAAGGAGAGCTGTAAAGAGACCCTTGGAAATGAAGCCCAATATGGAGTAGAAGGCTAAACGAATTAGATGTAATGATATTGCAGCAAATATTGATGTTGCTTTTATGCTCCTACAGCCTCGTATTTTTCTACTACCCATCGGTTTTCTTATACAGACTCTTGTGTGGTTGAAATAGTAAATACTATCACGATGAAGAAGGTACATAAAAAAATTAGAATTAAAGCACTAGCTCGGTAACCTGAACATAGAGAAGACCCTCGTTTTGGTGTCGGTTGTAATTTTCATCATACTCAACGAGCTTTTGATGACCCCCCTTATGTTCCGTCCATTGAGTTAATAGAATTTTTACCTAAAGATGCTTGTTTAGTAGAGTCTTCATTATCTTTTGAGTATCTCGATGTAAAGAATGACTAAAGGGCTTTAGTGGTTGGCCCTTCTCAGCCACCAAAGGGGTTATGAGAATCCTCAGTTGGAGCTGTTAGGGTTGGGGCCAACCCTGATTATCTGCCAATTAAAGGCATTATGCCTTAAATTAGACCTGACTTGGTTTTCTTAATGGAGACCAAACAAAGAATAGATTATGTTGATTGACTTTGACAATGGTTTAATTTTGATTTTGGGGATTATGTTGCACCTAGGGGGTTATTGGGTGGTTTGCCTGTATGGTGGAAACAAGACATTAATGTACAACTTTTCAACAAATCAAAACATTTGTCTAATAGTTGTTGTGCTAGTTCTGATTTTACTTAGTATTTTTCTTTTATCTATAGTTACCCTTTCCAATAATATAGGGGCCAATTTTGGGAGGATTGTAGTAGTTTAGCACGAATTCCTTCTATTCTTTGGTTAGTTTTGGGTGACTTGGACACATTATTAAGTTATGATGACCGAAAAGGAAAGAATCCTATCTCCATCTCTTCTTTTACCCTTTTGGAACAATTCATGGAATTTTGTCATCTTCAAGAGATTGGTTTTAAGGGAAATCCCTATATTTAGAATAATGGAAGATCTAGTGTGGCCAACTTTCAATATCGTCTTAATAGAGTTTTGGCTAATCAAGCATGGTTAAGAGGGTTTTCGCAATCCCAAGTCATGCATGAGGTACAAATAGGGTCAGACCACAGGCCGCTAGTGTTATATTCTGACGCCTTTCTTCAACCAACACGTTGATTGTTTCGATATGAGATAAAATGGTCATTACAGGAGGGCTATCAAGGATGTGTTTCTCAAGGATGGATTCAATCAACAGTAGGATCTAACTAATATAAAGTGTTGAGAAAGTTGAAATATTGTTGAAATAATCTTAAAAGTTGGAGTAGATCATTAGGAGGCTCACCCAATTTAGAAATTCAAAGAATGACTACAAAATTAGAAAAATTACAAGCTTAAGATGCTGATGAGGGGAATTTAAGCTAGCAAAAATGTCTAGTTGAACAGCTAAATGCTTTATGGGCTAAAGAGGAGATGCATTGATTTTAGATATCTTAAGTTAATTGGCTAAAATTTGGAAACCAAAATTCCAGTTTCTTTCATACAATTGCTTCAAGAATAGGACATAAGAATCACATAAACAATTTGAAAAGTGATGCAGGTCAGTGGTTGGATTCTAAGGATGATATTTCTAATTTTCTTTTTCAAAAATTCTCCAATTAATATCAAGCCCAGCCTTCTTTAGTAGATGTTTCTTTAATGTCTCAAATTTAACTTGTAGTCATTCCTCAAATGAATGAAGCTTTATGTCAGCCACTTTCTTTTGATGAAGTTTGAGATGCTGTTTTCCAATTAGGGTCGTTCAAAGCTCTTGGTCCTGATGGCTTTCCAGGCATTTTCTTTCGGAAACATTAGCAATTGGTGAGTTGTGATGTGTTTATAGCAATTTCTCAATTTTGGTCCACTAGTCATCTTTTGAATGAATATAATAGAACAAATATTGTTTTGATTCCAAAAGTGAAGAAACCTCAACATTGGGGGCAATTTCACCCTATTACAATTTGTAACTTTATTTATAAAACTATTTCTTGAATCTTTATTAATCGACTTAAACCATTTCTCCCTCAATTGATTATTCTAGAGTAATCATCATTTGTTTTGAGGAGAATGATCTAGGATAACTTAATAGTGGCCTATGAGATTTTTCATGCATTCAAATGTAGATGTTATCGTAGAGAAGGTAACATGGCTTTGAAGATTGATATTCTTAAGGCCTATGGCACAATGAGTTGGGACCTCCTAGAAGGCACATTTATTGGAATGGGTTTTGATAGTTGGTGGGTGGCAAGAATTATGGAATGTGTGCGGATAGTTACTTATGCAATCATGGTGAATGGTATACCTTCTAAAGTCATTTTGGTTGGTTGTGGATTAAGACAAGGTGATCCTTTGTTACCTTATTTATACATATTTGTTTTTGATTTCCTTTCTAAACTTATACAAAATGTAGTTGTCAGAGGTGATCTTATGCCTTATTAGGTTACTAGAGACTGTCCGCTAGTGAGACATTTGCTATATGCTAATGACACTTTGTTGTTTTGCAAGGCAACTATGACACATGCTCGAATGTTGAAAAGCTTGCTTGCTCTGTATACTTAATTGTCAGGGCAAGAAATCAATCTTTCTAAATCAATTATTATTTTTAATAAAAACACTTGTCTATTGATGAAGGCTAATATTTGCTTACTTTTTGCTATTAATAGAGATACTAATGTGGACAAATATTTGGGATTACCTACCACATGGGGAAGATCAAAGAAGCAAAGCTTGCAAACTGTTATTCAAAAGGTACAAGAAAAACTCTAGATTTGGCAAAAATGTCATTTATCTTTAGCAAGGCGAGAAATTCTTATGAAGGTCGTTGCTATCCCTAATTATGTTATACATTACTTCAAGTTTCCTAAAACTCTTTGCTTACAGTTAAATAGTTTGATTAGTAATTTCTGGTGGGAAAAAAAGGAAGATGAATCAAAGATTCATTGGGTGGGGCAAGGAAAACTTACTACTAGTAAAACTTGTGGGGGGTTTGGGTTTCAAGGATTTGGAGGCCTTTAACTTAGCTCTTTTAGCAAAACAGTGTTGGAGACTTATTAACAATCTTGGAGCACTTTGGGTTAGAATGTTGGGAGGCCTTGATTTTCACTCTTCTAACTTTTTTCTAGCTAGATTAGGCTCTTTCCTATCTTGGATATGGAGTAGCTTACTGCAAGGAAGGAAGTTGCTAGAATTAGGCCTTTGCTAGAATGTGGGTAATGGGAAAAATGTCTTTTTATGGATGCATAAATGGATTCCATGACTTCTTGGAGTTACTGTTACTACTCCATAACCACCTGATGATATCAATTATAGAGTTTGTGATATTATAACACCTAATCTACTTTGGGATGTTGCTAAACTTTTTCTTTGCTTAAATGATGTAGATGTGAGAGCCATTGTCAAAATACCTGTGGGATTGTTGCCTGATAAGCTTGTATGGCATTATTCTATGTCTGAAGATTCCTAGTTTGCTCTACGTATTTTGTTGCTAGAAGAAATAGATTGAGTCCATATCCATCTGTTGATTCTCAAGTTAATCAACCTACTGCTTATTTTTACAAAAACTATTTGGAAACTAAAAGTAACCCCAAAAGTTAAATTCATCTTGTGGCGAGTT